CTGTATTTATAAATGGTCATTCAGAAATCAAAATGATCATTCAGGAATCGTTCAGGAAACAAAAATCCAGCCTACCCAAAATATGACAGCAGCTACATGCTTAGGGCAAAGGCTGTTGTAAAGCACTAGTACCATTCTTGGGGATATGAATGGCATGAAATAAGAAAGAAAACCAAAGAAATACATATATGATTTTTTTCTGAACAAAGCAACATCTGGCTCTTTCTTAATACACATTAGAATATGATAGTTGGCTTAAAGAGGAATCAGAACTTCTGCAAAATCTGAGAAACAGAATAATCCAAGCATCTTAAATCTCTCTCGATAGATAGATAGATAGATAGATATAGATATAGATATAGATATAGAGAAATAGAATAATCTATTCCTAATCTAATCTTTATATATATAAAGTTTGTAAAGCAAAGTTAATTTAAAAGTCATGCAGTGATCAAAATGATAGGGGAGTTATAGCTTTTCGGAAGGAGTTAAAAATTATGCATGCTTAGTATACTCAATCCTTTCAGCTGGTCTGAGTTTCTTCTTTTGTGCACACACACACACACACACACACACACACACACACACACACACAAAACCCCTTTGCCTGAAAAAAGGAAAATTAAAAACAAAAACAAACCAAAAATAACTTTTAAAAACTAAAAAAAAGTTTGTAGCCTCTTTGTAGCTGGACAATCCTCATTGCATAGCAGAATCCAAAAATTGCATGCAACCCAACAGCTCTTCCATAAGTCCCTAGCTTTTGCATCTTGGCACAAAGTATCTAGAAGAGTGGTGCCCAACCTTGAGTTCCCAGATGTTCTTGGACTAAAACTCCCAGACGCTTTCACCACTAGCTGTGTTGGCCGGGATTTTGGGGAGTTGCATTCCAAGGACATCTGGGGACCCAAGATTCGAAACCAATGTAGCTGGACAATCCTCATTGCATAGCAGAATCCAAAAATTGCATGCAACCCAACAGCTCTTCCATAAGTCCCTAGCTTTTGCATTTTGGCACAAAGTATCTAGAAGAGTGGTGCCCAACCTTGAGTTCCCAGATGTTCTTGGACTAAAACTCCCAGACGCTTTCACCACTAGCTGTGCTGGCCGGGATTTTGGGGAGTTGTATTCCAAGGACATCTGGGGACCCAAGGTTCGAAACCACTGATCTGGATGATGGGGAATATAGAAAAAGACAACCTCTCTTCTCCCACATGGCTGCTGTTTCTGCTCTTGATAACCCTGCTACCTGCCTGAAAGGAAACAAAGAAAAGGGGGATCATGTTTTGAGAAGCACCAGCATGCATGGCTGGAATTCACACCCACATTAATGTGAGCAGGAAAATCATGCCAGGATCTGCAATGCCTGTTTCCTTCCCTGCAAATCTGTGAGCTCTTGAGGTTTAGGTTAGAGAGGTTTGCTAAATCCTTTGCCTCCAGGAGGTTTCATACAGTGTGCAAAAATTTATGGTAACATCCATGGCATCCTGAGGTGCACAACAAAATGTTGGTCCTCCTTGTGAAGCAAGTAAAAAAAGAGACACCAACAAGCAAACAATTTATCCAATGTAGGATTTGGAAAAAAAAATGCTAAATTCCTTATTCCCGTCAATATATTTTATCTCAATATAACAAGACACCTGGATGAGATTAATTTTAAAGCCTCATGAGGTGCATCAACACCAACTGAGACAAAACAAAAAGATTTCTCTTTTTTCATGTCAAGGTATTTATAATTGCATCTCCATGATCCTTTCTCTTTGGGCAACAATGCACACACATACACACAGAGCAAGTACAGAAGGACTGGATGATGAAGGACAAAGAACCCACCCAGTGCTCCAAACTGTTAGAGAATGAACCAACCATCCTAATTGTGGGCCATATGTCCCATTCATGCACAATTCATGGAACTGTGCAAATTGCAGTTTTGCAAAAAGAGAGAAGCAATTTTGTTCGGCGCATCCTTGTGACAAGAATATTGAAGCTCCTTTTCCTCCTGCACAAGAAAGGATTTGTATTATTAATCTGGATTTTTATATATATTTTTCAGAACCCATACAGAAAGGGAGGACTTAACATAAGTCTCATACCTTTCTAGAAAGGAAAACCAATTAGTCTTGTATATGTGCAAATTCTAAGACTGTATCACCAACAAAAATTCTTGTCTTGCAGCAAGGAGAAATATTCTTATGCTTGTTGAGCATGAGATAAGGAACAAAATCTCATTCCTAGCGGCAACGACATACTGCAGAGAATGACTAAAAAAGCTTTATGTTTAGTGTGCTACAAAGCAGGTGAGTAAGAATTGATTATGAGATAAGGAACAAAATCTCATTCCTAGCAGCAACCACATACTGCAGAGAATGACTAAAAGAAGCTTTATGTTTAGCGTGCTACAAATCAGGTGAGTAAGAATTGATTACTTATGCAAAGCAAATGTCCTCTGTGAAACAAATGTATGCATTTCCCTAAACACATATTTCAGCCAGCCTACAGGAATACATGCCCATTAAGATAGATTACAAACCATTGGATAACCACACTTCACAACAACTCATAGAATCATTCCTACATGGTTTGAACAACATAGCTGATGTGTTGCATTACCCATTTTATACTAGCAAAATTTGGCCCAAATGTCCTCTGTGAAACAAATGTATGCATTTCCCTAAACACATATTTCAGCCAGCCTACAGGAATACATGCCCATTAAGATAGATTACAAACCATTGGATAACCACACTTCACAACAACTCATAGAATCATTCCTACATGGTTTGAACAACATAGCTGATGTGTTGCATTACCCATTTTATACTAGCAAAATTTGGCCAACAGAATCATGAGAGCATAATAAATCACATACAGAGATTGCATAGTGGCAATGGACTACCATGGTATGAGTCAAAAAAAGGCCTATACCCGTCTTCTGTTACTCAGATGTTAGTACTGCATGCCATTTTAACTCATATCTCATCCAAAAACAGTATTTTTAGGCACATACAGAGGATCTTTGGAACACATACTTCCCCCTGTGAATCAGTCAATGAATACCTTCAGACACATCTGATGGGAAGCTAGAAACAAGCAAGGTTTCAGAATTCTTTACTTCACTTTTCTCCTCTGTTTCTACTTCATACATCACATTACAGTGGTGCCTCACTTAACGATTGCTTCGTATAACGAAAAATTCACTTAACGATGGCTTTTTCGGAGTGATCTTGTGCTTCACTTAATGATTTTCCCCATGGGCGATTTTCGCTTAACGATTTTGGGACCATGCTTCACTTAACGATGACAGTTTTAGGTCCCCTTGTTTTGCTTAAAGTTTTCTTTACAGCCCCATTTTTGCTATTTTTAAAATATTCTAAAATGTTTAAAAAATGTTTAAAATGCTTGGAATCGTTAGTGCACCTAATAAAACCTTCGTTAACTTAATTTGGCTTTGTTCTGAGTCTTTTTGAATTATTGGTGAATTTTTCCCCCCATTGAAATAGGCTTCAATGCATTTCAATGGGTTTCGCTTAACGTTTTTTCCTATGGGGATTTTCGCTTAAGGATGGTAATTCGTTCCAATTGGAACGGATTATCCGGTTTTCAATGCATCTCTATGGGAAATGGTGTTTCGCTTAACAATGTTTTCACATAGCGATGTTTTTTTTTGAACCAATTAAAATAGTTAAGCGAGGCACCACTGTATTTAAATCAGAGTGTTCAGCGGCCTTCCAAATGTTCTTGAATTAACATTAGCCCTAGAGAGCATAATCAATGGTGTATTATTGACAATTCCAATCTGGCAGTGCCTGGAATGCCATAGATTTCCCAGTCACAATTTAAATCAATTCCTGAATTAAGAAGTTTGTTTTTCCACTATATTCCTGGATTAGACAGCTGCGGTTTCACAGGTGAAGAATGCACGGCAGTCAGCCAGACCTGAACCCCTCCTTCCATATCCTGTTTACTCTTACTATGTATCCCTGACAGGTCAATCTAAATAACATTTTAAGATCACAACGGGATGTGGCAAACACTGTGGGTATTTATGCCTTCCTGAATTTGCTTTTAAAAACAGGACCAGAAGGTAAAAGAGTCAGATAATGACTCAGATGCTGTTTTGGGAAAATGGGGGACATGGTACCTGCAGATGTTCTCCTTGAGGTATACAGCAACTTTGATGGGGACATAACAGGGGGAAAGACAACCGACAAGTTGTTCAAAAAGATATCCAGATCACCATGGTTCTATCTCACATCCCTCACCTGTTGCCAAACCATGAACTATAGGCTGTTCATGACCCGAGTACATGACTACTCCCCTTGAAATTTTGAGGTAAGTTGTCCCTCTACTGAGTCTACATGAATAACCTCCATGGTAGATACAAGGAATGTTTCTTTTTAACGTAAATGGGCCTAGATACAGATTGTCCTCTATGTAGCATCTAGCTCAGTTTTTGTGCAGCTGCTGTATATACAAGTTTCAAACATTTGCAAGAAATATCCCCAAGGCTCTCTTGTTTTAAAAGGGTTCAGTAACAGCACACTAGCAAGAAAGGAACAGGGGTCCCAGCATCTTTTAAACAGTTGCTATGAAGACAGCAGGAACCCTAAGGTGCCAAAAATCTACTTTCAGAAATACTGTTTCCTGAAGGAAGAGGAGGACAAGTGTTGTGAATTACCCCTTAATCTACAGCAATATTTCTGATAAAGAACTCTGTATAGTAAAAACAGGTTTGATGGAATAGGTTTCAAAGGCGCAACAAGGCAATCATGTTGGGCTTCTATGCTTTGTCTTGAATTGGCGGTGGAGTATTGATAGGACACTATTGTTGGGTATATTGGATAGACAGTGTGCTTTATAAAATACTATTGGAAAACTAATAAATGGGGGAAGTCATGACTGGTAAAAGAAAAAAGGTGTGCAACCAAACAAGACAAAACAAAACAAACCCTTTGTAACTATAATGAGCATGCTCAAGAAAAGTCCAGCTAGGTACTTACAAGTAATAGGAGTAGGAATATGCATTTCTTCTAAATATGCAGTCAGATGAAGAAAATGTCCAAAAGTAGGGAAGAAGGAAAAAAGTATCATTAGACTTTATTCTGATTATTTTAAAGCTTAAAATGTACACAGTATTCCAGTGCTTCCCTCACTACCCAATTTGATTTTTATTTCCTGTCATTTCGAGCACTACTCTAATAGCTGTAATAGGTAATCTTTTATACCAGGAATTCCTGGGTTCCACAGCTATAACTGCCACAAATGTATTGCATAGTCCTGGGCAAGTCACTTCACTGTGCTGGATTCCTCACCAAGTGTTAATGATGCCTACCCACTGCTACAAAGCAATTTAAGTCTATCAATGCTAAACACAAAAGAAGAAAAATGTAGTGCTATTAAAAACCAGAGTATAAGAAATAACTAAATGTTAGGGTTGAAACGAACACTCACTAGAAAACTTGAAGATGGGGACTTTACAGGGAAGCAAAAAGATTCACAAAAGCTTTCCTTGGTTGCTAGTTTGCAGTTGTGGGAGCAGTAAGTTTCTACCGTGAAACACAATTTTCCCCATCCATTTTTTTTTCTATGTAAGAATCCAGAGTGAGGTCAGGAAAAGCACTGTGCTTATTCCCAATTTATCTCCCACTGTCTTTACTATGTAGTCCAATCCCAATACAATCTAGATGATGATATTTGGTTTTGTGAGGAGTGTGCGGGTAATATTTCCTATTCTCACTCTCAGATCTTGTGGTCAAACAAATGCAGAGGAAAAAATGGTGCTACAGCAATGGAAAGAGCAATGGTCACCATAGTGAATGGAGTAAATGCTTGCCTGTGATTGCAAGACCACGCCAGAGCAATGGTCACCATAGTGAATGGAGTATGCCTATGATTGCAAGACCATGCCAAAAAATCACTGAGAGGGAAAATAGCATGAAAGGAATATAATGAAATGGGCCATTTTGGAGCAGCCCTGTTAAATACAGACGACTAGCTTATTTCATTTCATACACAGTCCAGGAAAGCAAGTGTTTCTGAATGTGAAAAAAAGAAAAAAGAGCAACAAATAAAGTCTGCACATCATGGCTCATACGTATGTGTTTCAAGCACCAATGTAATGGGTATGAATATTTTAGGGTAGAATAATGTTTTGGAAAGAGTATCGGATTACTAAGCATTATAAGCCTGCTTCAACCACTGGCACTAGACAGTTCTACACAGGCACATATGTTCAATCTGTTTGCTTTATCCACAAATGCCACCTGTTCGCAAGAAATACAATTAAACCTCCATGTAGATTTCCATGCATCATGATCACACATGCACACACATCGTGAACAACTACACAGAGTACCCCACTGATGCATTGCTTGGTTTCACTACTGCGATGTCAATTATCTGGCTGTGTCTAGAGAGTGCTGCTTGCGGATATTGTTTTGTCTCTGTAGGTTCTGCGTTGTAGAGTCCCACAGGGGTCAATTATCTCCCCAATGCTATTTAATATCTATATGAGGCTGCTGAAGGAAATCATCCCAAGATTTGGAATTTCTTGCCATCAATATGAAGATGATGCACAATTCTGTCTCTCCATTTCATCATCATCAGTGGAAGCTGTGTGGACCCTGAAGCAGTGCTTGACCTTAGTTATGGACTCGACAAGGGCTAACGAGCTGAAACTGAATCCAGACAAGACGGAGATCATGTTGTTGGGAGGAGAGCCTGCCTGGTTAGGAAGTATTCTGCCTGGTCTTGATGGGGTAATGCTTCCCTTAAAGAACCAGGTTTGCAACTTGGGGATGCTTCTGGAGCCAATTCTCTCCATGAAGAAACAAATATCTGCTGTGGCCAAGTCTCCATTTTTTCATCAGTGGCAGATTACACTGTAGCTTTTTTGGACAGGAACTCCCTAATTACACTGGTCCATGAGCTGGTAATCTCTAGGATCAATTACTTCAATGCTCTCTATATAGGGCTGCCTTTGAAGGCAACATGGAAGTTCCAACAGGTACAAAATACGGTGGCCAGGATAGTATCATGAGCAAGGAAGTATAATTATATCTCTCCAATCCTTATTTGCCTGCATTGGTTGCCTGTTTGCTTCCTTGCCAAATTGAAAATGTTAATGCTAACTTATAAAAACCCTTCACAGTTTGGGACCTCATTACTTGTTGGAGTGTCTCTCCTTAAAAGCAACCTGATTAATCCAGGCTTCATGATTGTGGTTGATCACCCTTAGAGAGGCCCAGAAAACCACCACCAGGAACCAGGTTTTCTCACTGGTGGCTGCAACACTATGGAACGTGTTGCCTGTTGATGTTCACCAGGCTCCTTCCCTTCTGACTTTCAGGAAATAGGTGAAAGCCAAGCTTTTCGAATAGGTCTTTGGTAACATCTCTCCCAATTCACTGCTTGCAACACGGCTTATTCCCCCACTGAGCTGATTACCAATTGTGTAACAGAGCTACACATCCAGCATCTTGGCATCTATGGGGTCGTAGGCAACTGCAGTCAATAAATATAACATATTTAATTTTCTTCTTTAATAAGAACTTGTGACCACATCTCTAAGGTACTCCTTACCAGCTAACAACAGATAAGTCCTATTCAGGCATCAAAACTGCAGGTGTTTAGGGCTCAAAGGGTGGTACGGATGGGGGCATATGAACCCCCCTCCCACATCAGCCAGAAGTCCTGCAGAGTTTTACACATAGACTTTATTTAAAAAACCCTTCCTCCCTTCCTCCCACCTTCCTCCCTTCCTCCCACCCTAAACACCTTCAGCTTTAACACCTGATTATGGCTCCTGCTGAATCATACCGAACCTGTTAGCTTCTAAAGAAATGATATAAAATTTGAGACATTTGAGAGTTTGTCCCCAAATCTATATCTGTGAAACAATGCATCATGGTACAAGTTGTCATCTCTTAATACATGTGGCATCACATACTGTCACAGGAGACATACAAGAACAAAAGCAATACAGTGAGGCATGAGGTTCAGCTGAACATTTAAGTCCTTAAAACAAGTTTTTATAGTTTTCCTTGTCCAAGGAAATGGATGAAACTGAACACATTAATCACAACATCAGAAATATTTTCTCTGCAGTGAACCACTTGTTCCAAAACAGAGAGGACTAGCTATATAGAAGCTTAGACAAAGGTGAGAGTTCTTCATGTCAAGCATTTATGGTTTCATATGTTCACTACAACTCCAATTCCTGCATTCCGATTTAACTAGTGCCATTTTGCAAATTCATTGATTTCGGAAGGAACTGAAGCCTACAAAGCTCCTTGTCTATGTTATTAAGAGTCATGTGCATAACTGGGGAAAATATGTTGATGTCTTTGTCATATTTGGAATTGTATTAAAATCTGCTTTTGTATGGTGTTTTGCTGAGGTTTGCATGCAGTACACTATGTAAAGAGATACTTCTCCTGTGCATTATGTTGTTACTGCACACCAGAGTACGAAGAGATTCTCAAAAAGCCACAGCAAAACAATCATAACAGATTTTCATGTGTGATTATATTAAAACTAAGTATGGTGTTTTGGTGCATTTTTGGGAGTAGGGAGGCTTTATTAACTCATATCAGAAACGCAGACATGGGGAAGAGGTTTCAACTGAGCTTCATTAGAAAAGAAAAGAAAAGAAAAGAAAAGAAAAGAAAAGAAATCTCTAATGAAGAATGACAGTCTCTAGTTCCACTCTGGAAACAAAACCAAGCAAACTGGAATTCCAAAACTCCGGAGATGAATTAAAAGGAGTAGAATTTTGGATGTTATCATTGAATTGATCCAGAATAAATGCTTTATAGATTGGAAGCAGCAATGGTGACAGATTTTGTCATATCTGAGGTGTAAAGCAGAATATAGCTGAATTCTGATGAATTTGTACTAAAAGAAGATATTCCACCACTCCCCTGTCATGCATGACTCTGGACAGAACAGTTTCCTTCACCTCTCTTTCAACCATTACAAATGTGTTCTCCGGATGGTATAGAAATTACATAAAATTATCTTCTAAATTGGGAATCACCACATGATTTCCCATTCCACTAAGAAAACCTACACTTCCTAGGTACGAGGGTGAAGTTTTAAGATAATGATATAGCTGTTTTTGTTTGGATTTCTAAGAGGTCATGTTTTTTAATGATGGTGTCAGTCCAGATGATATTTAACTAATATTAATGTATGTCATTTGCTCTTTTGAGACCTTTGTTTATGTGCGTGTGTCTGTGTGTGTTCTAACTGAAACCAGAGCATAAATATGCCACACTTTTCTGGTGACATTTCAATAAATGTGCTAGTAAGAAACCTAGAGAAAGACATATTCTTTCCGAAGGAATGTCATCAGAATGTCATCAGAATGAATAAGATATAATATTACTGAAGGAATAAGAATAAGAATATGTATTTGTTTTCTTAACAAAAGGGACAGAAAGCAAATACTAGGCAAATACAATCATGTGGAAAAGAAAAAGTATGCCTTCATTGAATGTAGGGAAAAATAAAAATCATCTGATCCTTAGCAGGTCTGAAAAATAGGTAAATACAACCTCGGATGAACAACAACACATGACATAGTACATTGTGTCATGATTTATTTTACAAAAATAAAGCCAAAATGGAGAAGCCATGTGTGAAAAACTAAGTACATCTTATAATTCAATAGCTTGTAGAACCACCTTTAGTAGCAATAACTCAGAGTAATCATTTTATGTATGACTTTATCAGTCTCTCAAATCATTGCAGAAGAATTCTGTCCCACTGTTCTTTACAAAGTTGCTTCAGTTTATTGAGGTCTGTGGGCATCTGTTTATGTACAGCTCTCTTAAGATATCCCGGCACAGCACTGCAATTGGGTTAAGATCGGGATTTTCACTGGGCCATTGCAACATCTTGATTCTTTTTATTTTCAACCATTCTACTATTAATTTGCTGGAGGGTTTGGTATCATTGTCCTATTGCATGACCCAATTTCGGCCAAGCTTTAGCTGTCGGACAGATAGTCTCACATTTGACTCTAGAA